GACAGAAAAAATGGAAGAGAAGGCAGCAGGACCATGCCTCACCAAGAAGTGATTTCTCCTTCTCTTTTCCTTTCTTTCTCTTCTACCACACACTGAGGGAGAGGAAGTAAGATGATCCGGGAGTATCTTATAGTATCAGAAAATAAAGTGTTCACAAAACAATAGGATAGAGACATGTCAAAAAGACACAGAGTCAACCTGAAAAAACTCCCAAAAATCAAGGTGGAAGAATTTGAGCCACAAAATAACTAATTTTCAATTACAACCCAAAGCACAAAATAAATAAACATGAGACAACTGTGATACAGATATGAAAGTGAATAAATAACTACATCAAAGAAGAGACGGATCTTTTTCTTTATTATTTTTTTTGAGAGATTTTTCCGTTAGGGTGTATACATTTGCCAAAGAGATAGAAAGTAAGAAATCACCCACCAGGGTGATGGCATGCTGCAATCCCTTCCTCCATTCCCCTCTTAGGATCTTGGGCACGCACGCACATGTGCCCAGCATGAGTTTTAAGCCACCAGGTCCAGGACTTGAACCACAGTTGACTACATGGGAGTCCAGCAATGTAATCATTACAACACCTGCTGGTCCCAAGACAAATATTTCTTACAGAAGAATTCTAAATAGTATATTTAGCCAATACCCATGCAGGAGATGAGGTGCTGAATCCCAGCCCCCCACCTTGGGAGGATGCTGGGTTTGGTGATCTGTGACCAAACAATGGTAACTTTCTAGTGGAGAAACCTGACAAACACTGAAGGTTAACATCACCAGGGTTGTCACACGGATACTGTGTACACTGTATGATGTGATATGAGAATAACACCCTAAGTTATTCTTCCAAAACACTTAACCCCAGTTTAATCACTGAGAAACTACCAGACAAATCCAGAGTAGGAGGCACTCTACAAGACAACTGGCCAATAATTCTAGAGACTTTTGGTCATAAAAAACAAGGGAAGACTATGAAACTGTCCCAGACTAGAGGAGAATGGGAAACAAGACAACTACTGCAAAATGGTACCTTGTACTGGACCCTAGAACAGAAACAGGACGTTACTAGGAAACATGCGCATGAGTTTCAAGCTGCCAGGTCTGGGACTCGTATCAAGTGGGAGTCCAGTGACATCACCACTATGCCATCTGCTGGTCCCAAGACAGTCTAATTCTAATGATAAGTGTCTGACATGATGGATATGCTAATTACCTCACTTTGATCAGTACATGTTGCACACATGTATCAAAACATCATACTGTACCACATAAATATGTACAAATTATTATGCGTCAATTAAAGATACATTTTTTAAAAGATGAATTAATCTTGTTCCAAAACCACAGAATTACTGGATAGGTGATGCTAGATAAAAGAACTAAAAAAAAAAGCAATTTTAAACTTGCCTTATATGAATTTCGTCATCACTGTCCATGTGTAGCAACCGCCCCTGCAGACGTCTCTCTTCACTACGCAGCTGTTTTCTCATTTCTGATAATTCCATAATTACATTTTTTTTCTCCTCTATATATTCCCATTGATAAATAAAAAACAAGATAGGTAAAAAAACAAAAGATTGCATTAAAAATAATCTGGCTTATCATAAAGCAAAAAATACTCAGATATTTTTAATGCTCATACACACAGATATTTATAAACATCATTAAGATTCAAAAAACATTCTGATCACACAGGGATTTCTAAAATTAAAAGCTATTCTTGTAAAGGAAGTGCAACCATAAAGAGCACAAAGGTTCCCATTCCATTGTGGTGACGGACAGTTTTGAACCTTGATTGCAATGATGGTTACACAATTTATGTATGATAAAATTATGGGCCAGTTTGGTGGTGTGATGGTTAAGGCGGCTGGATCCCACATGGCCAACTGCGCAGTTCAAGTCCCAGACCCAGCAGCTCCAAAATCATGCAGGGCAACAAGAGTGCCGAAAATCTTGAAAGGAGAATGGAAGAAAAGGGATTTGGACATAGCCATCCCCCCAGAGGGGTGATTCCTCACTTGCCTCCTCTCTCTCTCTGACTTTCTCTGGCAAGTGCATGTGTACTATAGCAAAAGGTTAAAAAAAAAAAAATGAATAGAGGTACACACACATGAATGTATGTAAAAACCAGTAAGATCTGATGAAGGTCTGTAGAGCATACAGATGCTGAGAGAAGCAAGAAAAAGGGTACACGGTACCTCTCAATGCCATTTTGCAACTTTCTGTGAATCTATAATTATTTAAAAATATGAAGTAAAAAAAAAGAAGGCCAATCACAGTGGTAGAGTGGTGGCCTGCCACTCCCTGGAGCCACAGAAAGGATCAGGGTTTGGCCCACAGGTCAATGTGAACTTGATAGGCACAGCCACGTGTGCCTGTGAGCCTGGCTGGCTGGGAAGGCTGGCATTGGATCATGGCCTGAGCCATATTAAGGGTGCTTGTCCACACCCCTTCTGAAAGAAGGGATGAATAACTACTTTTTTAAAGTGCTAGAAAAAGAAATACTCTAGGTTACAGGTTTAATAGTTAACTCTACCTTCTGCACGTAGCTGATTTTTCCTGGCAGGTACTGGAGGAGATTGTGCCCTGGACATGGAACTTTCCTGTTTAATCACAATAACAACAAAGATATGCTCAGTATGTCTTGCCTACTCAAAGCAAATGTCCTCCTTATAAAACGTACCTACATCTGTACCTATTCTTCCTTCTCATTGGAATGAAAGGAAGGTCCTTGACACTATCTAGAGAGAATTCTGCCTCTCTACTCTGTATGTAATAACTGACTCCTCCCTCTTCCAATTACACGTTTATCTCCTACCACTTCCTTTCCAAGCACTTTCCTCTTAGCCTATGCATAGAAACTTCCTACCTTAAAAAATTCTTACTTCACCCTTCATTGTTCACTGCCTACTATCCATTCTCTCCTTCGACAGTCAAGCTTCTTTAAAGAACAGTAAATCCAGGACTTCTAGGGTCTACTCCCTTATTTCTATGTGCCCCTCCACATGCAGCTACTGTTTGGCTGCTTTGCCCTATCACTCCAGCCACTCTGCACCAAAGTCACAAAGTGATTGGCTAGTCATGTATCGAGTGGTATTTTATTTATCTGGCTAGTAGTAACTGACATGGTAGCCACATTTTCTCATCTTCTCTATTTCTATTCCTTTCTCTGGTTCTCAAATTTGGTAATTCTCCAGTATACCAACCTCGGCCCTCTTTTCCCTCTACACGTTCATCCTAGACAATGAAACTAATATAACAAGTGCCAATGTTAATGACTTTCAAACTAAAAAATCCAGTCCAGAACATCTTAACCACAACTCATATATTCAACCTCCTACATTACATAGGTTCAGTATCTAAAATCTAACAATCTGAAATCCAAAATGGTGGTGCCAGTAGGTGGCATGGTGGTTAAGGCGCTGGATCCCACATGGTCAACTCCACAGTTCGAGTTCTGGACTCAACAGCTTGAGAAACATGCTGGGTGCATGTACCTGTGTGTCCAAAATCCTGAGAGGGTAATAAAGGAGGCCATCTCCCCTGGGGGTGATTTCTCACTTCCCCTCTCTCTGTCCCTCTCTGGCACATGCACATATCCTATGGCAAAAATCTAAAAAGAAATCCAAAATGCTCCAAAATGATTTCTGAATACCAATATGATTGCTACAAGTGGAAAATTCCACACCTGATCTCATGTGACAAGTCACAGTCAAAATACCACATACAAAAATATTGTATAGGGCCAGTCGGTAGCATGATGGTTAAGGCAACTGGATTCCGCATGGCTGACAGCACAGGGCAAGTCCCAGACCTAGTGGCATGAAGAACACGCCAGGCACAGGTGTGTGCATGCCCAAAATTCTGAAAGGAGGAAGAACAAGAGGAGAAAAGATTGTGATGGAACCATCCCCCTGGGTGGGATGCTTTCTCACTTTTCCTTTCTTTCCTTCCCTCTCTCTCTCTCTCTAGCAAATGCATGAATACGATGGCAATTTTTTTAAAATTCTATAAAAAAAAAAATATTACCTTCAGGTTGAGTATGAGATGAACATTAAATAAATTTTGTGCTTAAACTTGAGTCCCATCCCCAAGATATCTCATTATGTATATGCAAATATTCCAAAATTTGTATATATTAAAAAAAATGAAATGTAAAACACTTCTGGTCCTAATCTTTTTGTTTAAGGGATACGCTACATGTATAATCCCGCCAGAAACTTGTAAGTTATCATTGCTTCCTACTCACCACACACCAAAGTCAATAAGTATCACTATCTATATCTCTTAAATGTATCATGAATCTGCCACCCATCCTCAATGGTTAGTGTCACTGCCTTTGTTTAGGGCCTCAGTCTTTCATCTGGACTTCTGCTAAAGCATCTTAATTTGTCTTTGTATTTACAGTCTTGCCCCATCTCCAAAATGTATCTCCACAGGATGGCCTGATAGAACATTATACAAAAGTAGCCATGTCATTATATCACTTAAAATATTAAAACGAGGGCCAGCAGGGGGATATGGTGGTTAAGGTGCTGGACTCCCACATGGCAGATCAAGGTTTGAGTCCCAGATCTGGTGGCTTGAAACTCACACCAGGCACATGTGCATGCATGCACACAGAGGAGAATGGAGAAGGGACTACAGTGTGGTCATCCTTCTTAAAGGGTGATTTTCTCACTCTCTCTCACCATCTCTCTCTGGTAAGCACATATGCCCTATGGCAAAACCTTTAAAAAAAAGAGAGAGAGAGAGAGAGAATTAAATATTACAATGAAGTCCCCTAATTATATACCACAGACATACTGAATCAACAGCTCAGAAAGTGGGATTCAGGAACATGTTTTCTAACGGGTTCCTCTGCATATTGTAGTAATTAGGCTATTTGAAATCCACCGGCCTCTGGAATAAAGTGAGAGCCCTCAGCATCCCCTGCAATCCCCATGTATGTTCTTCCTTCCATCTGTTCTGCTGCCTCAGTGCCTGGCATCATCAGGCCAGAGCAAACCCCAGAGGCTCCTTTGGGAGATATGGGGGTTGGGTGTGCATATAGCTTATACTGCCTAGATAATCTACATATGTTGACAGTCCCCTCACCCTCCTTTCTTTTCCAGCAAGTTGCTATTCCATTCTTCAAGGATCAACCCTTCTGGAATATTTTCCCTGCTCTCAGATTACAGTTCAGTCAAAAGTATAAAGAACTTCATTAGGATAACTATATCTAGCTAAAAGAAATATCTACAAAGAAAGGACCTTTTTAAGGGGCCTAACCAAGAAATATTTCCCAAATTATGGTTCATCAAAAGAATTAAAATTTAGGGCACCAAGTATCTTCAGTAACAACTGAAGTAGCAGGCATTTAATTTAGACACTGCCTATATTTCAGATGTGAACAAATTTAACCTATCCTAACATGATGAGTAAGAAAATCTCATTCCATCCTCCCAATCCAAAGTAACTGAGCTATGATAAAAAAAATCAAAAAGTATATACATGAATAAAGGAATTTATGATGCTGTCAACTGAAGGAGGTCTTTGGAGCTTGCTGGCCATTTTGTTCTGAAGAGCAGGAACTACAGGAGAAGGCTGTCTCAAGTGCTGAAAATAATTTAAAAAAGAAGAAATTCAGTTACATAAGATCATATTTTCATAATGATAATCATATATGAATTTAGAAATTCTTTAGATTTAGATTAATAAAAGAATATGATAAGGATCAAAATAAGGAATAAGGATAAAAAATTAACAAACTTGGGGGCCAACAGGTGACATGGTGGTTGTAGGGCTAGACTTCCATATGGCTGACCATGGTTCAAGTCCTGAACCTGGTGGCTTACTTTCTCACTTTCCTTCTCTCTTTTTCTGATTTCTCCCTCTCTGTCTGTCTGTCTCTCTCTGGTGAGCACATGTGCCCTATAGCAAATGTAAAAATTAATAATTCTTTCTAAAAACTAACAAACATATACAAAGTGACAGCATACCAAGTATTAGAACAGCAACAAAAAAGAGATAGCTGAAGTAAAAAATCATCTTAAAGATAAAAATAGGACAATATAATAAAACAACAAGATTCCTTTTCTTTTTTTTTTTTTTTTTTTTTGGAATTTTTG